GTGTGCGCATGCACGGAGTTGCCAGAGGAAGGGAACAGCTAAAGAACAGGGGTCGACGTGGGAGTAAGGCCACAGGTGGACGGTGAATGGCCTCTCACAGAGGAAGTAAAAGAGGAGCGAAAGGGGAGTGGAGTTTGCAGGAGACAATTAGTTCCCTTAATTGGTTCGTGACTCTCCGAGACTCCTTGCCAAGTTCTGCAGATATCGGCCTGGCATGTGTGGGAGGCAGAGAGGGGGTCAGGGCCACCTGACAGTCATCAGCTGCCTTCAGAGGCAGACATCAGTCAGGCAGAAGAACAGCTGTAGCCTGTTCCCAGTGTGCGCATGCGCACAGTTGGCAGGTGAAGGGAACAGCTCAAGAACGGGTCGATTTGGGAGGAAGGCCACCCAAGGTTAGCCTGCAATCGAGGTTAGGCCTGTTTGGCACAAGAGTCTTGCAGAAGGATGTCTGTGCTGTATACATTCACCTCCTTCCCCTCTTCTCCCCTCAGAGCTCCTTGTGGCCAATGACCTTCGGCTTGGCATGTTGCGCCGTCGAGATGATGCACATGGCCTCTCCCCGCTACGACATGGACCGCTTTGGGGTGGTTTTCCGGGCCAGTCCCCGGCAATCCGATGTCATGATTGTGGCTGGCACTTTGACCAATAAGATGGCTCCTGCCCTCCGAAAGGTATGATTGCGGTCTTTACTCAGCCCTTCAGGGAGGGAATCGAGCCACCTCTTGTGTCCTCACACCAACCGCCAAGGTTTGTGGAACTAACAGGGAGCAGCCGTACAGGTAGTCCTTGACTTACAACAGTTCATTTAGTGACCATTCGAAGTTGCAACGGTACTGAAAAAAAGTGACTTTCACACTTAAGACGATTGCAGCTTCCCCCCTGGTCGTGGGATCAGAATTCAGATATTTGGCAACTGACTCACATTTATGACGGTTGCAGTGTGCCGGGATCACCTGGTCATCTTTTTGCGACCTTGAGACGAGCAGAGTTAATGGAGAGGACAGATTCACTCAACCGGCCACGTTACTAACAACAACCGCAGCAGTTCACTTAACAACGGTGGCAAGAAAGGTCATAAAACGGGGCAAAACTCACTCAACAAATGTCTCACTTAGCGAAAGAAATGTTGGGCTCAATTGTGGCCGTAGGTCGAGGACTCCCTGTGTATATTTACCACAATTACAGCACTGTGGGGGTCATGCGATCAACATTTGCAACCTCCCCAACTGGCAAGTCAGTGAAGGAAACTGGATTCGCTTAGCAACTGAGGTGATTAACAACCATGGCAGGGAAGGTCATAAAATCAGATGTGACTCGTTTAACAACCACCCTGCTTAACAACAGAAATTCTGATCCCAATTATGGTCATAAATTCGAGGCCTACCTGTAAAGGATTAGACTCGATCTCACCGTCCCATGTCTTGGCTCGGGCCTAACAGAAATAGCCCAGCTCAGTCAGGTTTCCTCCCTCTGGACCTCTGGTTCTGACCCTCCGTGGCATTTTTATTCTTCCCAAACCTGTGGGATATCCAAAAAAAGAATGAGGCAAAAGGGCTCAGGCCTTTTTCCGTCCCTCTGCTTGGTTTTTCTGCCCTTCTGCCAAATGGTTGCCCCACATCTGAATACAGTGGGACCAAACTTGCCGGCGGGGGGGGCGGGGGGACTAACAAAATAAAACAACAACAAAAGAATTGAGTTCAGAATGAAACAGATTTGTCTTGAGGCTGCTGTTGTGGCCCACCAGCAGAGCTGGCAGCAGATTAGGAGAGTGAGGAGGTTGGGGAGGAAGATGGGCCAGTCCTGGAGTCTGAGGAAGGCTCTGGTGAGGGCTCTGTGTCAGAGGCAGAGAGGGGCCCAGAGCCGTATGACAGTTATTAGCTGCCTTCAGAGTCAGACTTTAATGAGGCAGACGAACAGCTGGAGCCTGTTCCCAGTGTGCGCATGCTAAAGAACAGGGGTTGACTTGGGAGTAAGGCCACAGGTGGACAATGAATGGCCCCTCCCAGAGGAAATAAAAGAGGAGTG